AGGAGAGCTGACGAAACTTCAGCTGCGTCAACGCGCAGAAGTAGCTCGTGCAAGACAACGAACATATGATGACGACGAACCAAACGAATATGATATTGACGGCAATGGTCCATATGTCCACCCCGACCTACAAGATCTATCGTTTGGGCCGCTGGGAAGCGAACAGAATCGATTACCCCCTCCACTCAGGCCATCTGCGCATCATTCTGCATCCATTGAACCACAATGGGATCGGGGAAGGGGGAGCCTGTCTGATTTCAGTGACTATGATAGTGAGGAAGAGGGTAGAACACAGCAAGCTTCTCATGTTGCGGGGCCCAGCACGAGGACCAGTGGGAATCCGGTCGAGGCTGAGGATCCTTTCGCCGATCCTTTCGCCGACTGATTGTGGTAGACATATCTCTTCGGTTACAATTTCTGTGCTTGATCTCTGTATATCTCTTTCACCTCATTCCCATTGTAATCACTGACAGCTGCGAAGCGTTCTATGTGCGGTTGCATGTATAGTCCATTATTAGTACAACATATTATCGAGGCAGATACCAAGTAAGAACTATGGAAATCAATCTAATGTAAAGGTGAGGCTTGAGTCGGACCTCATATAGTACAACATCAACCACTCTCCATCCCGCTATCCATCTCGCTATTTGCCTGCTCGCCATTGGCAGGCGGGTTGTTCATCGGCGAGTGAGAGTGAAGTTCCTGATTATGGCCAGGCATTTGCCCCTGTATTTGCCCTTGTATTTGCTGCCCATGAGGAAGGGTTACACCGTGCATATTGAGGCCCAATTGACCGAGGCCCATACCAGGGCCTCCACCACCCATCGGGCTTTCTAGGTAGAGTCGGATCAGGACGCTCTCAAGGGCGACGATAGATGCTCCAGGATACTCATAAGCACGTGCGTGTTCACGGATCGAGTTGAATAGAACGCTCATACGATCCCATTGTTCTTGCTGAACTGGGGGACCGGGAGGGGGAGCTACCATGTGTTGATACGGGGGTGCACCAGGGTGGGCGGCTTGATAAGGAGGAAATGGATGAGGTAGTTGTGCTATCGGTGGGTTGTACGCATGCATTTGCTGTGGCGGAGCAGGCGCAGGAGCAGGGGTTTGAGATATTTTTGGAGTAGTGGATCCTTCGCCATCAGCGGACGTTGGGGCTTGGGAATGGCGTTTGGACTTTTCTTTTTCTTGCTGAACGGTAGCGCGTCGACCGCGCCGCGTATATGGCAGATTGGCCAAACCGATTGCATGCGAGTGCTCAGCGATGTCTGCTTAATGTTCAGCATTGGACAAGCGAAATAATCAGCTCGGCTTACAGCACACTCGTACTTCTTCAGTATCAAAATATGTCTTATAGCTGATGGATGCTTGACACCCCTGTCCTTCAAGCTGGTCCCCTTGTCAGCGGGGTATTTCCAGTGGCTCCTCGGTGACCTTACCTTTCTGCTTGGTACTTTCCTTACCCTCTCTGGGTGTTTCTTGACGTATTTTTTGCGACCGCTCCTGGAATGACGAGCACATACGAGTTTTGTGTGATCTTTGAAACGAGGAGGAACAGCCTTGCTGCCATGGGTATCGCCCTTTACGAACTCGACCATCTGCGTTTCCTCCTCTTCATTTCGCCAGTCTTGAAATGCAGCAATATTTGGAAAGATGAGTGTATACCCGTCATCGGTGTCGCCTGAGCCATATGGGGGCCTGGAAGAAGTAGATTTTGGTGGTGATAGAGACTGATTCGTGGCCGATGGCGGGAGTATTGAGGAAGAGATTGAGGAGGAAGTATTATTTTGTGGGTAGATCTGCTGTTGGTTCTGCTGCAAATGTGGAGGCAAAGGCTGGGACATCGCCAGTTGCCCAAGCCTGAAATGCTGGAAACTCATTTTTTGACAAGAAATCCGAACAAAAAAAGGCCTTCGACAAAGAAAAAGGCGTACAAACTGGTTGACTTTTCTGTGACATCTATGCTCTTTGCAAGTCACACTTATATTCTCCTGTCACGCTCTTTCCTTTTTCAACCGCAATGACCTCCTCCCTCAGAAATTCGCTGCATAGGCGCAATCACAAGGAGCGATCACAATTGGCCCATCGCAGTCGCTTTGGTATCCTTGAAAAACATAAAGATTATGTTCTTCGTGCTCGAGATTATCACTCCAAGCAGGATCGTATAACGCGCTTGAAACAGAAGGCGGCTGATAGGAATAAGGATGAATTCTACTTTGGCATGAACAAGGAGCGGACAGTGCAAGGCGTCCATGTCAAGGATAGAGGAAATGTGTCCATGCCTGCTGATTTGGTAAAGATACTTAAGACACAAGATGAGGGTTATGTACGAACGATGAGATCTGTTGGTCGAAAGGTGCGCATATTCATCTTGCTTGTCTGCCCACGCCAATAGGTCCGCAGAAAATCGACAATCTTAAACGAGACCTTACTATGATGGCAAACCTCGTGATTTCAAATCCTAAAACCCCAGATGATGGGGAAGATACGCTTGAACCTAGCGAATTAAAGACTCTACAAGAGGCAGGTATCATCCCCCCGTCTCAGGGTAAGCGAAAATGTGGACGTGCGCGGCCAAAGCACATCATATATGTAGATAACGGGGAGGACGGTGCGTCTTACATGCTACTTTGATCACACTTCCTTGCTTATATACCTCCTGTAAAGGCCAACCACATAGTCAATCGAATGACGAAGTCAAAAAGGGCGAGGATTCTACAGGATCGCACGAGGAGAGAAAGCTTGATTTGGGATGGAAAACTGCGGAGAAGAAAAAGTTGCCCAAAAACAAAGGTACAGTTTCTGCTCGTATAGTCAACGAAGCAGAGGAGGAGGAAGACACCACATCGATAGCTCAGGTGAGGTGTGAACTTCGGTGTTACGAGCACATCATAATATTACCGTCAGCTCCATCGGAAGAAACTCCTCAAAGAGCTGGCTGCACGATTAACACGGGATACTCGGTTGACTTATGCCCAACGAGAACTAGAGATGCAAAGGCTACTTACGGGCAAGGGCCGACGACGGAAGTTGACCGGCGTCGAAGAAATCAAGGGAGATGGAGACGATAATGACGATGAAGATGAGGACGAATCACATCGTCGCAGAAGCAAACCTGATGACAAACTCCACAAACCGAGAGTGTACAAGTGGCGGATAGAAAGAAAGCGATGATATTGCAGGTAAAAGGTCCAAATAAACTATAGTGATGATTGATATCCAGTCCTATATATACGGGAGATATAGTAATTGTCCACATGTGATGGTTTTCTTGATGGTGAGTAGCAACCATGGCTTTACACAACACACCATGCTCCGAGTACAATTCCCGAAGCGACCATCCAAACCGAGTTCCATTGGCTAAAGGAAGAGGATGCACCGCTGGGTGAACTGGATCCTGGTCCCGAAGATGTAGTACTGGAACCTTGAGGAATGGGTGTGGCGATGGGTGTTGTAGGTGAGTATGTAACGCCGTTTGCAGTGGCTGCCACTTCGAAGACAGAGCCACCGCCGTACTCGTAGAACTATCAAAGTCAAGTGTGGGTAAATGCAGACATACAGTGGTATCGGATGACCTACGTCAACCAGCATAAAGTTGGGGTTTCTGCCATATTCGCTGACACAAAGATCAAATTGTGCGCCCAAAGAGTTAGTACCGCTGACAGCGTTCGTCTGATTGGCTTGGCTGGGATCAGGAGCCGGCTCGCCAAGAATAAGAGTGTCCAAGAAGTGGTTAATGAGGTACATCTCTGTGGACGAGTCGCCTTTCGTTCTATTGACACTGCAGTCGAAGGTAGTGGTAACATCGTACGGTGACTCCCATATGTTGGTAAATTCTGATATTTGCATTTAAAAGGGATGGTGATGTTCACAGTGACATGACATACCATCAATGATATATGGCACGGATGTGAAGTCCGCCTCTGCATCCATGAAAGTCAAGAGCCTTTTACCGGAGTCAATGAGTGAGCCGAGTGTGGGCCATTGCGTGGCAGGTATCGAAGCTGAAGGAGGGGCATAAGACATCGTGTCCAGCCCGACGGATTTGAAAACGGTGTCGAAGGCGGTGGGTGGGAAGTCATCCGAATTGACGATTAATAAAGAGAGAACTGCGTGAATCGGGCGTAAGAATTATTGAACAAGAGCATATCTAGCAACTTAAATACCTTCGTTGGGATTGGCGTCCAGCCATGATTTGACTGTAAAATTGTAATAAATTAGCGACGGCAGGACGCAAAGCCAGTGCAGTTAATGATACCTGTTCCAAGATAGGTTGACAGTGGACCACCGTTGTACAACGCCTAAATGGATATCAGTATTCCGAAAAGATGATCGCAAAACTTCCACGAACACAGCTTGTGTGGCAGAGCTGTATTACACCGCTCTGGTTATGAGTCTGCATCTGAAGCATGCGGATACCATCGTTCATCTGTTGTGTAACTACAGAATGATCAGTATAGCTCCAATAGTGGTGAAAATTGGACTCACTGTTGTAGTCTTGGTTAGTGGCGACTGCAAACGAGACCGGCGCTTCAGTGACACAACGAGAGCGATGCAAATGTCACTGACAGTTATTAATTCCAACAGCGTAGGAATCGTGAGCTCCAACAAAGGTAACATTTCCAAAGCTGCGGTCGCAGAGATCAGGACTGCCGTTACAAGTTGTAGCTCGTGGAACTGAAGGCGAAGCTTTCACACCAAGGAAGAGACTAAAGAGCACAAAGGAGGCGACCCGCGCTGTTTGTGTTGTGGAAAACATGGATCAGTATTCTGAGAGGTTAGAAGCGAGCGTGGGGTTGGATTTTGTGGCCAATCCGTGGGTAACAAGTCGAAGAGAACGGAGGTATAAGAAAACAGTTATGCAGAAGCTATGATTTGGATCTAAATCTTGACCGCGGAGTGGGAGAACAAACAGGAGCCGTACACAAGGCTGGTCTCTATTGGAACTGCTATAGATTCATACTCTATCTATAACGTATCTGATGGTTGGTATTCAAGGTGAGATGGCCGAGCGGTCTAAGGCGCCAGACTAAGGCTTAGTCAGCATATCTGGTCCGAAAGGGCGTGGGTTCGAATCCCACTCTCATCATACTTTTTGATGATTTTTGTCTCTAGGTCGAAGGCTGGTCAAGGATCACCTTGGTATTAGCTGTGGACTACCAACATGTGTTGCTTTTGAGATGACAATGGATCATTGTGACCAAGAAAGCAAATGACATTTTTCTAATCATGAACAACAAAACAATAGCGAAACTATAGACTCGGACAAGTGGTGCAATGAAATAAACGCTACTAAGCAGATCCCTAGCCCCAAAGGTCACTCCGGGTTGTCGACCAGAGCCTGAGCAGTTGCGAGACGCCCATTCTCCGGCTTGCGCGATTTCAAGCCCACAGCGCCATTGATATACAACATTGAACTCGCTACTCATGGGAGGAATCTGTGGGAGTTCGCTGGCGATAATGGCCGTAAGGGGAGGGAGCTTGAAATTCTTATCCAACTTTCCAGCGGAGGTTAGCTCCCTGGCCATGGAGTAGCATTTGAGGTTAATATATGTCGCCTCTTGCTCCATTTTACGCGGGAAGCTTCTTGGAATCGGATTTGGCTTTCATACAGCATCATCCTCGCTGTGAGCTCGGTCTCCTGGAGATTCGAGGTGTGATTTTGGATGTTCATGTTTTCGATCATGACCCGTAGGGTTTTCATACTAATCGCTGTCTAGTGACGCCGGTAAATGTTGACATCGGATATAGTAAAGAATAACGGAGCAGACAGTACGAACTTGGAGGTCCATTTTCTGTTGGCAACATTATCAGTCAGTGTACAGAGTTATATATGGGTATAATGTAGTACCTGAGCGGACACGTTTTTCTTGCCAGGCCCAGTGGGCTGCTTTTTCGCCTAGATGACAAATGTTGATGTTGGTTTTGTGATAACCCTAAAGATGCTGAATACATTACCGGCTCTTCGTTGTCTTCGTCTTCGCCTCGAGATTCAACTCTGTGAGCTTTCTGAGTCCGCGGGCTGCCTTCTTTGGCTTGGAAGGCTTCTCCTTCACGAATCACAAAGCACCAGTGTACCAGTATGCTTGTGAAAAGAGCTGGTACTTACCAAAACAAAGCCACCATCGTGATCACCGGCACTGGCACAGATGTGATGGCAAGGGTGAGGCAAAAAGTAACTTCCCCCTTCTCCCCTTGATTCTTATTAACACTGGTCTTTGCGTTTCTCAGTCTAACGGATTTCATCAGGACCAAGCCGTGAGACGAGTGGAGTATAACTCACAAAAGAATATGTTTTCATCCTACTGCCAGTGAGAGAGCCTGCGCTCATCTGAAGTGGTACCTTGAAATACGCCGAGCACCTGAAGTTCGTGCGATGTGCTGAGCCAGTCTAAACCGGCACGCATCATCATGTCGGCGGGATGGGGACCGGATGCTAATGTTCTAACCCTCAAGACGTGGGTTCGAATCTCATTCCCATCATCTCATTGCTTTTTATTGAGGAGACTGTGTATAATGGATACATATCTGGGAATGTTCGAGTCCGTCCGATAATATTCCAGCTCATCGTCACCGTCGCTTTTGTTCAATCACTAATTGATTCCACCGCAGACGCTTTCGCAACATTCAGCCCAGGAAGAGAAAAGTAAAGTACAGATCGTCTATATATTTAAAGTGCCGTAGGACTGCTATTAGTACAAGAGAACAATGCAAGATAGTGGAAGCCAAAGATGAAATAAAAGATACAACCTATCCTAGGGTTTCCGTGATACTAAAGTGAACATGATCGCCCTCGCCCAGAGTGAGTCTGACGGGCAGCCGCGGATCAATGCGGACAGGCGCACTGGTGCCCACGTAAAAGTCTCCGCGACTGAAGTTTCTTGTGATAGCCGCGGCTTCCTCTTCGGTAAGGTTGCGTGGACGTTTGTTCGGACGGAAAGTGGAGGAAGAAGCTCCAGTGAAAGCACCGTTATAGTCATAATATTGATGCTGGCTGAGGGTGGGAGCACCTTGGACGAAGCCCATAGGCGCTGGGGCGAAGGTAGACACTCCTGGAGCTGGGGGGGAGTACTTTCAGCATGGATCCTGAATATAAACGAGATACCAACTTTGATGGGTTTGATCTGGCGAATCTGGATCAGGATACGCACAAGTAGCGCCGATTCCCCGTTTTAAACAGCTCTACGGCGGGGTGTGTGAGCTGGGTACGATAACATAATTTATTGGCATACCTGGCATGGCAATACTTCGCTGCAGCGAGTTTTACCAGTATGGCAAGCAGTGCAGGCCCGCCGCACAGATGGCGCCTTTGCTGGGTGCATGACGGGAGTTAGCGTGCAAGAATGAGTGGAATAGAGAGCTCACGTTTTCTTGTGTTTCCCTCGTTGTGTCCTGACGACGAGCCATTAGCTGAATGTTGTTGGTGTTGGTGTTGATCTTGATTATGTTGTTGCAAGTGAAGCTGTGAATCAATGGCCGATGCCGCCTCTTGGGCCGGGGTAGATGCCTCACTGAGGGCCGACATGGACGTAGCGGAGCGGGGACTGTCCGACGCTTCACGGTCAATCGAGCATATAAGTAATTCATCGGAGGAATATTCAATATTTGGCCCTATTTGGCCCGCCGGATGATCTGACGGAACGGCACCGGCTCAACCGGCACAAACTGGTCCCCGGTTGCTCTCCTCCTCTTTCCATAACCATGAGCGAACCCCCACAACCTCCAGTTCCGTTTGCTGATTTCGAGTATACTTTTGATCCTGCATTATCTAGTCTTTTTCCTCCTCCTCTTCCACTACCATCATCAGCAGATCTTTTCTCGCCTTCAGAAACTACAGATCTCCTCGGCTTCTTGGACCATTTTAATTGGGAGTTTGACGGCGAACCGCCATCGAACGAGACCCATGATTCATCCCAGTTACCATATTCATCAAGTGAAATCGATGATTCATCGGGTCAGCCTCAGCCATCGTCAGCACCGCATGCCAGTACATCAGACCGCAATTCAAACAGTCCCCTCGAAGAGAGTAACCCAGACATCGAGAGCAACGATCGGTCAAAAAATCATGTGCAATCCTCTGCAAATGGGACAAGAAGTGGGGTTAAGCGCAAGAGCGCTCCAGCACCACGTCAATCAGCAACAAGAATAAAACCTCTGCTATCATCTCCTCAAAAGCGTCTGAATCACATAATGTCTGAGCAGAAACGTCGAAATGCTATTCGTGACGGATATGCTCAGTTGATTTCGCTCCTTGCTCCGGATGGCGCGCATGCTTTAGACATGCCGACCAGGGGCCGTCCGAAAGGCAGTGGCAGTGGGGCGAAAGGTCAGACCAAGGGGAAAAGCGGCGTGTTGTTCAGAGCAGTAGAGTATTGTCGATGGCTTGAAGAAGGCAGAGATGCTCTCAAAGCAGAGGTCCTCCGAGTGGAGGCTGCAGCACGCATTTGACCCTTCACGACATAACAATGTGAGTTTTGTAGCTTTATCTGCATGCATCACCGATGTTGAACCGTCTTAGGATTTTTGATGATATCCTTATTTTGCAGTCCAAGTTTTCAAATTCGTTTATAATGTCTTAATTTGTGCACCAGCACGGTTTCATGTGCTACTATCCACGACTTTTCTGTACCAGTTTTTTTAGTGCCGAGGCTAGATTTAGTAGCCGGCGATCTTGATTTTACCATGCAGGGATATGTTCACCGCATTGGATCTGGGAAAGTTTGAACAGAAGCATATGCTCTATAGCGTTTTTACTTGGTACGTGCGCCCCCATTAGGTCTATCTTCATCCTATCCACCTAATAATAGGCCATGCACACATGCCCCCTTCCTCGACGATTCCTTCGCCTCGCTGGGTTATCCCAAGTTTTGTGCTCAGGGTTGAAGACTTGAATCACCCAGGTGCAACCATATTTTTCGATAATGTCAAGCCTAAACGGGCCCTTGAGGATGCTGTGATGGCATCGTACAAAGCGATGTATACCCTAGCGACATCCCCTACACAGTGAGCAGAATACTTTTACATCCGATCTCTTGCTGATCCTTGGATCTCAGCGTTAAGAGCATCACCCTAGTCCTCAGATCTTTCGAGGGTGTAGCGTACACATTCGGGACGCACGCCAATAAGGAGATCAATCTATCCCTTGATCACATCAAGAATTCCGAATCACATGCACAGGATGAGATCTTAGGTGTGCTCACACACGAAGTAGTACATTGTTATCAGTACAATGCCAAGGATACGTGCCCGGGTGGCCTTGTGGAAGGCATCGCAGGTCAGGACCAGACTTCCCATTCTGATTCATCCTCCCTGATTTTTTCACAAACTTAAACTTCGTGCGATTGCATGCTGGATATGTCCCACCTCATTGGAGACCATCATGTAGAGACAAATGGGATGCTGGATACGATGCCACAGCCTACTTTCTAGATTGGATCGAAAAACGGTGTGGGGATGGCACAGTCAGCAAGATTAATGGATCCATGAAAGACTCGAGGTACAGCGACAAGGTGTTCCAAGATGCGACCGGACATCGAGTAGAAAAGTTATGGGAACAGTATTGCGAACATTTAAAGCTCTAGCGCATAGATGGTTAAAGAATACCCCAGCTTCGCATTAGGCCAATAATGTGGTAGACACTACACTGTATCAGACTTAAACAAATTAAACCCAAGGGCTGAATACAAAATACAACTTTGTTTTCTGGAGCTACCCCCATTCTGCCTCTAATTCCCGAGCTAAAAAGTCATCCTCGTCGTCATCTTCGTCTGATTCCTCTTCCTCTTCCTCATTCTCTCCCTCTTCCCAAGTCGCCGGAATCGTGAGTGATAGCCCACCCTGGTTATGATCGTCCTGTTCAATGGATGGTGTCGATGGATTTACAAGGTCGTCTGCAGTGATGGCCTCCTTGAGTTTAGACGACCGTGATCGTTCTGCAGCAATTTTTTTGCGTTTTGCTAGGGGTGAACGAGGAGAATCGCCATAGGATCCGTTCAAGCCTATCTCTGATGGCGTAAGACTGCGTAGTCGTTTTCGCTTAAGTCGAGGTGTAGCATTGGGACTACTGTAAATTCCAACTAATGTCACTTG